TTTGAAACAATAAAAGAAATGTAATCTTTTGACTTGGAAGGTGGCTTCTTTGATTGTCACTTCAGCAGGGAGAGTGTAAGCTGGTGGCCCTTTCATGTAGGGAACCGTTCTTGGTCTTGGAAAATGATGAGGTGATGTTGCGTCCTCATCTGTCTTCTTCTCTAGAGTGGTTTTTAGTTTTCACTTAAATCAGGACAGGGTCTTGCCTTTCTTATTTTCCTAGTCCACAGTCGGCAGGGGAAAGACAGCTGTATACTCAGAATGTACTTCGGATGGGCAGGATTTACTTGAGTTTGGCGCCACAAGTCAGGATTCCTGGTTTGTGCTGCCAGATGGGCCCAAGCAGGCGGCTTCCAGGGCAACTATTTCTCGCTGGATCTGCCAGTTAATAATTCAAGCCTGTGATTTGAAGGATAAGGTCCCACCCTTTCGGGAGAGAGCACGCTCTACCAGGATTGTGGGGGCATTTTGGGTGATCCACCATGTGGCGTCAGTTGCTCAGGTTTGCAAGGCCGCTACATGGGCTTCGGTTCACACATTCACAAGGTTCTAAAAGGTGGATGTCAGAGCCGCAGAAGATTCTACCTTTTTGCAGCGTCTTTCGAACAGTTGAGTAGGTCTTGTGGGATTGTTGGCGGCAGCTGTCATAATCTCACCCTTCCCTCAAAATTTCTTTATTCCTTTGGGACATCCCACATAGTCATGAATAGCCTATTCGTTCTACTCTGCAGTACACCAAACGTATTCATGCCTCGACTATATTCTGGTCCAATAGAAGGATCTGTCTCGGTGAGATAACTCTCTCGGATCACGCTCCTGTATTCTTAGACCTACAGTTGGGCCCCACTACCTGTGGCCCACTGTCCTGGTGTCGGAGTGAGGGGTTGCTGCAATCTCCAGAGATTAGGTCATCCATTGAACGTGCTCTTTCTGACTATTTCGCACTTAATAGAAACTCTGTGGACAGCCCTTACGTCCTTTGGGAAGCCCATAAACCAGTCAGCAGTGGCTCGCTGATGGCAATTAGTGACGACCTTAAACCGGCTCATTTTTCTTCAGGTTGACACCCTTTTAGCATGCCTCTGATGCCTGGAGGGCGCCCATTAAGCTACCCTGGTGAAGGCTACATATCAGGATCTCCTCAAGACTCAAGAGGAACTAAATTCCATTCTCTTCTCTAAAGTCAAGGAAAAGCTGGCATGGTCACATCTTTCTATGTTTTCCAACAAACGCAGCACTCTTCTGGCCAGGGCGCTGAGAGGAACTCGTACCCGGACTTCCATCCCTCATATTGTGTCAGCATCTGGACAGAAGTTGTCCTCTTCAGACACTATGGCTAGTGAATTTTACTCCTCCTTTTTTTAGGGCTCTGTACAATATAGTACCAAACGCCTCTGGAGACCCCCCCCCCCCCTCCCCTCCCCGCCCCACCGGGTATCCGGCCAGAGATTTCCTCCTATATTGCTGCTTCTGGTATGTCTACCCTCCCTCCCAGCTGCTCATCAGGAGCTGGAGGCACTCATCATAGTTGAGGAGTTGGGGGTGGCACTTGCTCAATCAAAACCAAAGAACAAGATGGGTTTTACTGCTGCCTACTGTAGAGCTTTTTTTGAACTTTTTTCAACCTGCAGTCCCCCTGTATGGTGGTGGCCTTTAACTTCCTATCAAAGGGAAAGGCCATGCTTCCGGACACCCTCCGGGTCTATATCGCTTATCCCCAAGGAAGACAAAGACTTGGCACAATGTGGCAGTTACTGTCCCATCGCACTTCTGAACACCGACCTCAAGTTGTTCAAGAAAATTCTAGCTAATCGCCTGCTACCTCACATCCCTCCCCCTGGTACGCAAGGATCAGGCTGGCTTTGTCCCTCTTAGTGAACCAAGAAACAACACCATTCATGTCTTCAAATTGATCCATGCTGCCAGGACCTCTAAAAAAAAAAACACACTTATTCTACTCTCCACTGATGCCGAAAAGGCCTTTGACCGGGTCCACTGGGTCTTTATACAAGTGACGTTGCTCAACATTGGTCGTGGTACCTCCGTGCTGAGATGGGTTTCCTCCCTTTACTCTCAACCCTCGGCCTCTGTCCAGGTAAATGAAACTAGGTCAGATTTCTTCCCAGGGATGTCCCCTCTCCTCGTTAATTTTTATTCTGACCCTGGAACAATTCCTGTGTATGATCCTTGCGGACCCCAATATTTCCGGCTATTGCATATCCTGTGGCGAATATAAGGTCACTGCGTTCGCCGGTGACCTGATCTTTCTTACAGATCCCCTTCATCTCCCTCCCCAACCTTATTCAGGCCCAAGAAGCATATTGCTCTCTTTCTTTCTTTAAAATCAATTATGCAAAATCCTCTGCTTTGAACGTCTCCTCTGACGACAGTACTGTTAGACGACACCTTCGATCTTCCTTCCCGTTCCGCTGGGCTTCGGAATCTATCAGGTATTTGTGCACAAATACAGTATTACATCTGATCTCTCATACCTCTACTCTGCAAACTTCATTCCTGTTTGCTGAAAATCAAAGGGGACTTGCTACTCTGGCATACCCTCATCTTGACTTGATTTGGTCGCTGTAACGCCCTCCAAATGTCTTTGCTTCCTCGTATCCTTTATCTCCTGCAAGCGCTCCCTATCTATCTACCAGCACAGTTCTTCCAGAAGGTTAACACCATGTTTCGAGCTTTTGTTTGGTCTTATAAGAAACCAAGACTGGCCTTGCGTCTATTGACTTTGCCCAAGAGATGTGGAGGGGTTGGTTTACCTGACATCCATTCTTACTATAGAGCTGCTCACCTCACATGTCAGATTGACTGGCATTTCCATTGGGAAGCCAAACGCTGGGTAGTCATAGAACTAGAGGACTCCCAGGGTATGATGACGATTTGGCCATGGTTGACTCCTCCTCTGCCACGGGATCTCAATGCCTCTCTGACTCTGGGCACCACTTTGAGGGTTGCTCGGGAAGCATTCAGAAACACCCCAATATCCCCTGGTTGTTCCCCGTTATTTCCTGTACGGGGTAACCCTGACTTTACCCCCCGGATTAGAAGACCAACGATTCTCACGCCTTTCCTCTTTTGGACGGACTAACCTATCTGATTTCTTGACCCCGGCTGGGACCATCATTTCATCTGATCTTACTAGGTTGGTAGACCCTTCCCTTAATTTCTGGGGTGGATTGCAGTTTCACGCTTACCTGTTTTCCCTTTTGCACGTTCTGGGCATTGCCTGTCCCCTGACTGCAATAGAGTACAGTTGCCTCTAGAGTGAGCCAGTTCGGCTTACCCTTTCCACCATTTGCTTGTCCCTTAATCAACCTGAGTATGTTCACGCTTTCCTATCCAAATGGGAATCTTACCTAGGCTTGACCCTCATGTCACCTCAGAGAAAATTCTTCACTTTGCTCAAAAGTCTTCTATGGCTACCAAGGTTCAAGAAACCAACTATAAACTCCTTACTCGATGGTATTGGGTTCCCACCAGGCTCCACTCCATTTCGCCTCAATTTCCAGTGTCTGCTGGAGATGCGGGACCGACCAGGGCTCCTTTCTACATATCTTCTGGCAATGTCTGAAGCTGCAATCGTTTGGGCAGGGAGTAACTGGGATTATTAAACAACTCACTGCAGTTGATTTGCAGAATGACCCTGCAGCTTGCCTTTTGCATTTAACAGGAACATTCATTAAGAAATATAAAGCCTCCTTGACCATACAGCTGCTTAATGCAGCGAAGGCCTGTATCCCACTCCTATGGAAAGACATTCATCCTCCTACACTAGCCATGGGGTTTGCTAAGGATAATCAACTTAGGGACATGGAGGACCTTACTGCCATGTTACATAACCAAGAGGAGACCTTTAAGGAAAGCTGGTGCCCCTGGCAATATTTTGTCTACACGGATGCCTGCCAAAACAAATTTACTACCTCCTAATGACGTGGTTCTCTCTAACATGCTATCAGCTTTGCCCGGGAGAGGATGGATATTTTTCTTTTTTCTAGCCTGCTCTATCCAAAACCACAACCCCCCCCTCCCCCGTTCTTTTTTTTTTTTTACTTGCCTTTCTTCTGGCCTTTAATTTTCTTCTGCTTCTTTCTTCTCCCCTCCTCCTTCCCCTTCTTATGGACCCTCTCTTGTCTTCAACCCCCCCCCCCCCTTCCTCTTTTTTCATGGGGTGCCAAGGCGGGCCTCTCCTTCAGCTCTCCCGTTTTCCTTGATATCGCTTTATCTCTTTACCTGCTGCTGCAATGCCTATACCTGCTGCCCTGACAATATCCTAGTGACCCGGTGCACATCAGCCTGTTTTTTGTTGCCCTGCCCTACTCCCCCCTCACACACTGGTTTATTCCAAGATGTATACTTTTTCAATTTGTGTATAATTTGCTTTGCCTGGTCCATTATCCCTGCTTGTATTATACCTTGTCTTACAAATTGGACCTTTCTGGTCCTATCGTATGCAGTCCAGTTTTTTTTGTTCGGCATTCTGTCTTATACTGTCACAATGGTTGTTGTCTGCCTTTTTTGTATATGATGTCTTGCATAAAAATATAAATAAAGAAATTAAAAAAAAAAGAATAGCCTCTGTGCCCCGTGATGTACGATAAAGAAAATTGGATTTTTTTCTACATACTTACCTGTAAAATCCATTTCTTGCAGTACATCATGGGATATAGAGGTCCTGCCCATCTTTCTGGAATTTCATTGCTTGCTACAAAAACTGAAGTACTTCCTGTGTAGGAAGGGTTATATAGGGGAGGACTTCCTCTCTGATCGGCGAGTGTCCATTCAGCTATAGGTGGCATATATCCCACATAGTCATGAATGGCCTGCTCTGTGTCCCATGATGTACTCCAAGAAATGGATTTTACAGGCAAGTATGTAGAAAAAAAATCTAATTTTTACCATTTAGTTCAGAATACCTATCTTTCACAAATGATCTATAAAATGAAAAATTAAATGCTTAATAAAGTTGTTCTTATGTCATCAGGGAGAAAATGGGGAGAATCACAATTCTAGGAGTTCATTTCAGAAGCGTATGCAGGAATGTCCTGTCCCGTTCATTAAGTGTGGCAGCTAGTGTTCCATCCCAGGTACTGTAAATCTTAAATACTTTATTGAGTTTCTAGGAAATAATCTAGCGTGTGTTTAGATTTCAATAGAAACCTGATTAAACTGTGGTGCAGCATTTTGGAAACTCCATTCCTAGCAACTTCCACCCTCTGAGACCATTACAAGGGGGCCTCCTGCTTGTAGTAGTTGTTAAGCCTGAAGGTTTTTTACCTTCTTGCATTCTATCCATGTAGGTAAAAACCTTCAGTGTGCAGCGCTCCCCCCTAATACCTGAGCCCGTTCCCGATCCAGTGATGTGCGTGAGAGTGGCTGCTGCCCTGACTTTCTGCCTCTTCATTGGCTCCTGCTGCTGTCAGTCACAGCCAGTGTGGCGGGGGCAGGGCTGAGTTCCATTCTGTGTATCTTATGGACACACAGAACGGGGCTTGGGAGCAAGCATGCACGAGTGCCCCCATAGCATGCAGGTTGCTATGGGAGCTCTCGGTCGGGGGAAGGAGCCGAGAGCACCTGCGGGGGAACAGAGAAGAGGTGCATCAGGGCAGCTCTGTGCAAAAACCATTGCACAGAGCAGATAAGTATAACATGTTTTGTCATTTTTTAAAAATTAAGCCTTTATCATCACTTTAATAAACCCTATTTTCTCATTTCACAAAAGGAATCTTTGTTATATTCATTGTGACTGTTATTTAAAATTTTAGCTGAAAAGAACTGTAACTTTAAAACAAAAATAAGTATCTTCTTCCTGGTATTGTAGCTTTGTGAATTGAGCATAATAACTGGGGGGTGGGGGGAATGTCAGAAACGGAACTGCTGTGGGTAGATATTGACTTCTTGAAAGACATTAAACCAGTTGGGAATTCGGCCCACTAGTATGACAGATTATTAGTATTATGTGCACTTACCCTTTTTCTTTAATGGAGGGAGTGGCGGGTTGTTTTCCTCTGTATTTATGCTCACAACTGTGCCTCTACTCATCGTGCACCTGTCAGCCCAGGAGGAGTCTTCTATATTGTTGGGTTGTAGCACCATATTCTTTGATTCATTCTTTACCTTTACAATGGCTAGATAGTGCATACGCCATTTGAGCCATCTTTACCTGGAGTAGCAGCAATAATTAGGCCCCTTTCACAGGAGGAGGGCTTCATTTGCCCAGTGGAGTATCTGTCCTCTGATCCCCTGCTGAGCAGGCGAATGACATAAACTGAGCAGACACAGACAGAGTCATTCTGCTCTATGGGCTATCTTTTTTTATTTGAAACCTTCATTAGCTAGTTGATGACTAGGGAGGAACCAAGGAAGGCAAAATATAAGTAGAATTAACTTCAGATTTAGGTTTTGTTTAGTCAAACCTATAAAATTCATCTACAAATGTGTAATAATATGGGTTATGCTATTTAGCATGATCACACTCTTTATGAATGTTGGGCCTTATTTGACCAGCATACCTTTCTGTGCACCACTCTGGTATAAAAAAATACCTTTCCAGCAAGATGATGTAATACTGAATTGCACTCGGGAATCCCAGATGACAAGACATTTACAGAACAAGCAGTGATTCATTAGCCTTGAAAGGAGCATTACTGCCTAGTCTAATACTCCTGCAGTGTATTGTATTTTATGCTAATATAAATCCTGGAAATGGTGTATGATGTACTGTTCTGTCTTTATTTGGAGCAGATGGCAACGGATCAACACAGGTTACATAATCAGACATCAAGTGAAATAAATTTAAATGCGGAGAATGAATCTAAGAATATTGAAAACGCTCCAGTGCAAAAGGGGAAGACGTTTGCCATTATATTGGTTTACTGTGGTCTTGGATATAATGGTATGCAGGTAGGTGAACAATAGATATTGAATACCCATTTTATAATAAGATCTCACTTTCTCATTTCATAAAAGTCAGTGTCCCTCCAAAGAGCGAGTAAAGTCACAGTACCTTCTTTTAGGGTCCTTTCACACATAGTGCAGTGACTCATGTCTTTCTAAATTGGAAGAACACCAGTCACAGCTAGGGCACATAGAAAACCATTATTTTCTATGTGCTCTGTTCGCCCTGCAACCCAGTCCACAGGTGTAGTGCTTTGAGCTCTGATAAAATGCAGACATGCAACATCTGGATGGCACTGCATTGCACCACACAACATAGCAAGCCGGTGTGTGGTGACATAAATGGTCACTTTGTGCACTTCAAATAAAGTTAAGAAAAAAAGGGAACTGAAATGAGCATCACACCGCCCCTTCACTGCAGCCAAAACTGACAGGTCCCCGCACACTAAACCATTGCAGTTTAATGTGCTGGCAGTGTGAATACGCCCTTTAGAAAAAGTTTCTTCTAAAATGACCCGGCATTGGTTCCCTGAACCAGCAACCCCCCCTCATTTCTTTTGATTTGTGTCTATGTAGCACCTTCTGATTTTAATGATGTTGATCACATGGTAGAACCCATTTGATTAGCTCAATCTTTCAAAACTTAAAAGATGTAAACCCTATTGATATTAGAAATACTGGATTTTTTTTCTACATACTCGCATGTAAAATCCATTTTTTGGAGTACATCATGGGGCACAGTGTAAGCCATAATTATTATGTGGGTTATATGCCACCTATAGGTGAATGGACACTGACCTGACCAATCAAGAGTACTCAGGTACACAGTTTTTGTTGCAAGCAATGAATATCCAGAAAGAGGGGAGGGACCTCTGTGTCCCACGATGTACTCCAAGAAACGGATTTCACAGGTAAGCATGTAGAAAAAATCTAATTTTCTTTCTCATACATCATGGGACACAGAGCAAGCCATAATAATGACTACTTGGGATGCCCCAAAGCAATATCCTTGAGAGGTGGGTGATATTACAATACCCACTACCAACATCCCAAAAGGAAGCTATTCAGCTATGTAAAACACTGCGGCCAAAAGCAGAATCCTCCGTGGCTCTAACATCCACCTGCTAAAGCCTTGTGAATGTATGAACCGAAGACCATGTAGCAGCATTGCAAACCTGAGCAACTGACGCCTGGGGGCTGATAGCCCAAGATGCCCCCACACTCCTGGTAGCGTGTGCTTTCACCTGCAAGGAGGGAACCATAAGCTTGAATGATTGTCTGACGAATCCACGTAGAAATAGTTGATTTGGATGCCGACTGTCCTCTCCTGGGACCTACTGGCAAAATAAACAAGGAATCAGTCTTTCTAATCTGCGCTGTCATTCTCAAAAACACATTCTTATTGCCCGAGCTACATCCCAGGCATGCAAAGATATTTCTTTTGCAAATTGAGGCCTAGGAAAGAATGAAGGCAGAACAATGTCCTGATTAATATGAAAGCTAGAAACCACCTTTGCCAAAAAAAGGACGGATGAGGCCATAACACCACCTTATCCTGATGTAAAACCAAAAAATGGTTCCCTAGAAGAAAGAGCTGCCTACACCAATGCCCTTCTTGCATAGCTGATTGCCACCAAAAACAACCTTTCGAGTTAGCAGAACTAACTTAATCTCCCTGCTGAGTTCAAATGGTGGTTTCTGTAAAATTGCTAAGACCAAATGCAAGTCCCAAGGACAAGTGGGGCTGTCTGACAGGAGTAACAGTACACATCACTCCCTGTAAAAAAAAGTACAAACCAAAGAGTGAGAAGTAATCAGTCTTTGGAAGAAAACAGCCAAGGCTGAAACCTGACCCTTAATAGTACCAACAGCCAACTTCTTTTCTACTTCTGACTGGAGAAAAGACAAAATTCTTCCAATCAAATACTTCCGGGGGTGCCAGTTTCGACCCTCAGACCAAGAAATATATGCCTTCCAAGTTCTATAACAAATGTTCACAGAAACCAGCTTCCTAGTGTTAAACATTGTGTGGATAACTGAGTCTGACACTCCCCTATCTGGGTGCAGTATAGGACCCTGAGACAGCAGGTCTGACCAATCTGGCAGAGGCCAAACATCGCCCGCTGCTAGCCTGACCATGTCCGCGTATCAACACCTCCTGGGCCAGGCTGGTGCCACTAATGTCACCGGAATCACCTCGTCTCGAATCCTGTGTATTAGCCGTGAGAGTAGCTGAATTGGGGGAAAGCCATAGATTAGGGAAAATTTATCCCATGGTATCACCAAGGCATCTACCCCTATCGCAAGAGGGTCCCACATCCTGGATACAAACCTGTCCACCTTGCTGTTGAACCTGGATGCCAATAGATCTGTGTTCGGGTAACCCCAATGCTGGCAGATTGCCAAAAACTCCTTGGGATGCAGAGCCCATTCCCTTGGAAACAACTGCCAATGACTGAGGTAGTCCACCTCCCAATTCTCTATCCCTGGTATGAATACTGCTGACAGAACTGGAACATTCCTTTCTGCCTGGGCCAGAATGAGATCTACCTCCTCCTTAGCCCTCAGGTTCTTGGTAATGCCTTGGTGGTTGATGTATGCCACTGCCGTAACCATGAAGCCTGGTTATCCAATATCTCAGGGCAAGCCGCACTGCCAGAAGCTCCAGAATATTAATGGGAAGGCTCTTTTCCTGCTGCGATCACGTCCCCTGGACTGTGGTCCCTTTTAGAACAGCCCCCCAACCTGAGAGGCTGGCATCGGTTGTTACCAGCTTCCAAATCACTGGTGGGAAAGATCTTCCCTTTTCTGAATTCCACGCTTCCAACCACCAATTCAGGTTTTGCAGCACCTGGGGGGACAAAAACATACGGTAATCCATAATCCAGCTCTGGAATGTTTGTTCCATGTCGATAGAATATTCCTCTACAAAGGCCTTGAGTGGAACTACGCATAGTGCACTGCTTGAATGAGGATACCATCTTCTCCATTAACCTCATGCAGAGACGAATGAAAGGATACTTCCTACTCCTCAAACTCCAAACCTGATCTCTCAGGGCATGGCCCTTTCCTGGAGGCGGAAAAAACACCTTTGCCTGGACAGTGTCTAACCAAGCCAAAATACTCCAGACTCTGTACTGGCTCCAGGGCCAACTTCTCGAAGTTGAACACCAAGCCCAAGCATTCCAGAGTATGAATCGCAAGGGCCACATTTTTTTAACCCAACTGACCTCTGAGCAGTAGATCGTCTAGATAGCCCAAAAATGATACTCCCCGGGTTCTGAGCAGCCCCAGAACTGGAGCCAGAATCTTTGTAAACACTTGAGGAGCTGTGGCTAGCCCAAAAGGTATGCCACAAACTGAAAATGTCAAGTTTCTACCGCAAACCACAGAAACTTTTGATGAACTGGAAATATTGGCACATGCAGGTATGCGTCCTTGATGTCTGTGGACAATAGAAATTCTCCCTCTTTTAAAGATGTGACTGCTGACCAGACTGACTCCATTTGAAATGAATGAACCTTTAGGAACTGGTTCAGCCCCTTTAAGTCTAGAATAGGCCTTACATCCCCATTCGGCTTTGGAACTGTAAATAGGTTTGAATAAAATCCTTTAAACCTTTCGTCCACTGGAAGTTCCGCACTTACGCCCTGGGACAAAAGTCAGTTGAGTGCCTGAAACAAAGCATTTCTTCTCAATGGATCTGTGGATACGTTGGACCTTAAGAAAACAGGGAGGAGGAATCCCCCACAACTCCAGTTTGTACCCTTGAGCAACTGTACCAGTGACCCACTTGTCATGAATCAACTCTTCCCAGATTTCTGCAAAAACCAAAAGTCTTCCACCTGCACGAGTGGGGGCACCACTTCATAATGAAGCGGACTTAGAATCTGATATTTTCAGGCTTCTGCACCCAGGGTTTCTTCTGGCGCTAAAAGGGTAAGAGTGTACTTTTTCCCCCCCTTAAATCTTTTGGATATACTTGTCTAGGTCCTCCCCAAACAAATATTCTACATGAAAGGGAAAACTCGCCAACAATCTTTTGCACGATAGTTCCACCGCCCAACTCTTTAACCACAGGATCCTGCGCATGTGTAATGACAGAAGGGTCATGTGAGAGATCTGCTGAATCGAGTCCTTAAGGGTATCAACTGCAAAACACAAGGCCTGTGGTAAATCTGCCAAATCCAGAGCCGTATCCTCCTCCAGGATAGATGGTCTTTTAACCACCTGTTTAACACGGTCATTCAGACTCTTTGATAGATACCGAGAGCAGTAACTGCTGATTTTGCGCCAGCCCCTGCCAGGAAAAAAGAAGCCTTGAGGAACAATTCTAATTTCTTATCTGCCGGATCCTTAAACACCTTTACATTATCCAAAGGACAAGTTAAATGCTTATTCAGGGAAGACACAGCTGCGTCTACCCCCGGTATGCCCCACTTTGTAACAAACTTCTCCTCCATAGGATACAGAAGGGAGAATCTTTTGGGTGTTCCCACTCAGTATACATAACTTGCTCCAAAAGAGCATGCACCAGAAATACTTAAATACTTTGAGGTGGCTTTAATGAGCTCAAAGAGGAATAAGAGACCTCAGATGCCTCTACTGGGGGTAACTTGAAACCTGACCAGACCATATCAGTGAGGGTTTTGACCGATAACCTCTGTGATTGAGAAGCAGAAACCCCCTGCTTCTCATCTGGCTGTTACTCCTCTCACAGAATCTATTGTTTGACCCTCTTCAATATCCTCTACTGCATCTTCATCCTCCGGTTCTAACCACTTTTGTTCAAGGACTAGTGGGTCCATAGATGGGGATTTTTCCTGCTTCTTACCCCCCTAAGCCACCAATGCAACCATCCCAGCAATCTTGTCTTTTAACCCTGCTAGGGCTGATGCAAGATCCTCCTTAGTTACGTACGCTGATGCAGACATACTGGCAGTAGCCACAATGCCGGAAGAAAGCAGTGACTCAGATGGACCTGTTGCCCCTGGTCTTTTAGGAGAGGATAACACAGCATAACTTTAACTAGGCCTGATCGGACCTGGCAGTGGTGCATTTTCACCTTTTCCTGCGGTTCCTCCCCCACACCGCTTTCTGCATGACATTACCTCCACTAGTGTTACAATAACTGTGTAAGGATTTAATAAAAACACAGTATGCACAATAGACATGCTTAAGAATGAAGCAACACATTCAGTCAGTCCACTGAAATAAAAAAGGGGGTAGCATGTACACAACCCTCCCACCTGACTGGCTGACCCTCTCAGGGAAGTACTCACGTGCCGTTTAGAATAACCTGCCCTGTGTCCTGGCCATCCCTCCAGGGTCTAGCAGCAGTAACAACAGAGGTAGCGGCTGCTGCAGCAGCTCACGTCTAACAGGCAGAGTCCTAAATAATGTAAATAATGTGGTGAATTTCTCTTCCTGCTGCTGCTGCGCATGCGTCCCCACACGCTTGCATGCCCGTGTAGCAACAGACTCCCTAAAGTGGCCAAAATTAGGTACTACAGGCAGATACATGCAAAAAAAGGTACTCCTCCTGGAAGTCTTCCCAGTCAACCATAGCAGACTCCCGCATATATACACTGCTCAAAAAAATAAAAGGAACACTTTTTAATCAGAGTACAGCATCAAGTTAATTAAATTCCTGGGATATTGATCTGGTCAGTTAAGTAGCAGAGGGGGTTGTTAATCAGTTTCAGCTGCTTTGGTGTTAATGAAATTAACAGGTGCACTAGATGGGCAAAAATGAGATGACCCCCAAAACGGGAATGGTTTTACAGGTGGAGGCCACTGACTTTTTTTTCCTTACTCATCTTTTCTGTCTGTTTTTCACTAGTTTTGCATTTGGCTAGGGTCAGTGTCACTACTGGTAGCATGAAGCAATACGTGGACCCTACAGAGGTTGCACGGGCAGTCCAACTCCTCCAGGATGGCACATCAATACATGCCATTGCCAGAAGGTTTGCTGTGTCTCCCAGCACAGTCTCAAGAGCATGGAGGAGATTCCAAGAGACAGGCAGTTACTTTAAGAGAACTGGACAGGGCCGTAGAAGGTCCTTAACCCATCAGCAGGACCGGTATCTGCTCCTTTGTGCAAGGAAGAACAGGATGAGCACTGCCAGAGCCCTACAAAACGACCTCCAGCAGGCCACTGTTGTGAATGTCTTGGACCAATCAGAAACAGACTTCACGAGGGTGACCTGAGGGCCTGACATCGTCTAGTGGGCCCTGTGCTCACTTCTACCATAGAGCTCAATTGGCATTTGTCATTGAACACCAGATTTGGCAGGTCCGCCATTGGCGTCTTGTGCTTTTCACAGATGAGAGCAGGTTCACCCTGAGTACATGTGACCGACGTAAAAGAGGGTGTGGAAAAGCAGTGGAGAACGTTATGCTGCCTGTAACATCACTCAGCATGACCGTTTTGGTGGTGGGTCAGTGATAGTCTGGGGAAGCAAATCCATGGAGGGACGCACAGACCTCTACAGGCTAGACAATGGCACCCTGACTGCCATTAGGTATCGGCATGAAATCCTTGGACCCACTGTCAAACCCTAAACTGGTGCAGTGAGTCCTCGGATCCTCCTGGTGCACGACAATGCCCAGCCTCATGTGGCGAGAGTATGCAGGCAGTTCCTGGAGGATGAAGGGATTGATACCATTGAATGGCACCCACGTTTGCCTGATCTTCTCAACCGTGACCTCATCGGTGAACCTCATATCCACATCCACACACGCCAGAAAAATCTCTGGTGAGACTAATCATAAATTATCTGCATCCGCTTGGACACATCTTGCCAATTCTGGTAGCTCGTTGAAGGCAGAAATGTTGCTGACTTAATCAGTAAATATATAATAGGTAACTTTATGTCCCAACATGAAAAACTTTTCAGCAGATCCTATGAATGCCTAACAAAGACTGAATAATACCAAATACAGTAAGGCCAGTGCAGACCTCTTTGGTGGAACTGTGCTTTCAATATGTTGTAGGTTCCATTCTAAACAATTGGAGCAACCACGGCGTTATCCACTGAGGCATCATAGAGTCTGTCTGTCTTATACAGAATTCTGTGCAGTGTGGCACCTTTCCAAAGGTGTAGCCGGGAGGTGTTTGTGACAAAGATGATACTGCCCTGCAAATTACAAAGAAATGGGGCAATGTAGTTCCATTGATTGTGTCAGTTTTGAAGCTTGTTTGGCCATACTTTCCCATGTGAGCCAGAGGAGTGTACTTCACTTCTGCATTCCTGTAACCTAGATTTAGTCAACAGTGGGCTAAAGCCTTCTGTCAGCTGACATCACAGAGCCAGTCCAGGCTCTACAAGGATCCCAACCATGTTGTCGGGATTCATCCAGATGGTGTGTTGCTTCAGGTTATCTTCATTACCACTCTGCACGTTCTGGTCACCTTCATTACCACTCTGCACGTTCTGGTCACATTCATTACCACCCTGCACGTTCTGGTCACATTCATTACCACTCTGCACGTTCTGGTCACATTCATTACCACTCTGCACGTTCTGGTCACATTCATTACCACTCTGCACGTTCTGGTCACATTCATTACCACTCTGCACGTTCTGGTCACATTCATTACCACTCTGCACGTTCTGGTCACATTCATTACCACTCTGCACGTTCTGGTCACCTTCATTACCACTCTGCACGTTCTGGTCACCTTCATTACCACTCTGCACGTTCTGGTCACCTTCATTACCACTCTGCACGTTCTGGTCACCTTCATTACCACTCTGCACGTTCTGGTCACCTTCATTACCACTCTGCACGTTCTGGTCACCTTCATTACGACTCTGCACGTTCTGGTCACCTTCATTACCACTCTGCACATTCTGGTCACCTTCATTACCACTCTGCACGTTCTGGTCACCTTCATTACCACTCTGCACATTCTGGTCACCTTCATTACCACTCTGCACGTTCTGGTCACCTTCATTACCACTCTGCACATTCTGGTCACCTTCATTACCACTCTGCACTTTCTTCTTGCCACCATGCTTCCTCTGAATTTTCCTTGGAGCCATACTGGAAGCACACAAAAAAGCTTTACAGCAAGTGTGCACAGGGATGTGTTGTATGTGCTAAAAAGCTTCTCAGTACTGTGTCTTCACAGTACACTTCCAATGTCCGTCTGTGACTGCGATCTCGCCTACAGGAAGTCAGGACCACATGTCAGAGCAGGGAAGATGGCCATGGCTCGTGTTCGTTAACCGAAGCGGAGTCCATGAACCAAATGGAGTTTGTGAACTCTTTTGTTCGCGAACCGAGTTGTTTGTGAACAAAAGTGTTTGTGAACCGAGGTATCACTGTATTTATTTGTAACAAATTTTGAAAACACAAAGCATTATATTAATGAAAGATTTAAAAATATTGAACATGACTTTTGAAATTACATTAATATGCTTATATGAGACTTTGGTGATTAGCTTTACATAAACTTTGAAAAAAGAAAACCACATGTACTGTAGAGCAACCGCTTAGTTATTCTTTATGCTTTTTGGGACTGAAATGGAATAGTAAAAATGCACTGTATCCATTATTATGTGGGCCTTCCACAAATCCAGGCCTGTAGTTTTAGATCTGAACATTAATAGTGAAGTAGGGGTTTGAGGAAAAAAAAAAAATTATACTCGCCTAGGTAGATGAAGCATCTACCCTTGCCACTTCTAAGACTGAGAAATGAGTAATCAAAGACTGCTGATTGCTTAATTCTCCATCTTCAGTGAGCAGAGAGCTGGTGAGTGTCAGTCACCTGCTCTCTTATCTGCCTCTCCAGAGCTAACTGCAGTGCTGGGCTGTGGAGAGGGTGGTAGCAGCTGGATCAGGCTCTCAGCAGCTCCCCAAGTTGCTGATCCAGTTGTCGATCCGGTCAGGAGCTGGATCGGACCGGACTGGCTGAATGACATCAGCCAGCAGCGTGCTTTAGCCTGCTGTCAGCTGAAAACGGGTAATAGGAGTGCCGAGTGAACTGCGCTCATGTGACATACAGGAGAAGTAGGGCCAGTATGGTTCTGATATTCCTTTCATAACTTGTCAGAAACCATTCTTGTGTGTTAGAGGCCTAATCCCTATGATAAAGAATAAGGTACAGTGGTAGGGAGTGGTCTATGTATGTAATGAAGCAGTGTCTATGTGTCCATCTTCCTAAACACATTTCTAATACACATTGTTGTTGTTTAATTACATAGAAAAAAAAACGTTTTTTTTTTCATTCTGTACACTAATATTACTACTTTTGTTTTTATACAGGCGAACACATTTGCTTCGCCAACTATCGAAGGTACACTGATTTCAGCACTGATAAAAGCTCAGTGTGTCCCAGAGACGTGCTTATCCAATTTAAAGGAAGTGCAGTTCCAGCGCTGTGCTCGAACTGACAAGGTGATAAAGAAAAGTGTAATCGGTTCACGGGTTTATTTTGGGTTAGCAATCCAAGACTTACAGCTGGGGTGTTCCAGTTCTGGGTGGTATTCGCCATACTGTATTATACCTTGAATGTTGTACATTCATTATTTTTTTGTTCTGTTGCTCTTTTTGTGCCATTGGGAGCGCTCTCTTCATGCCTGTCTTGAAGGCACAACAGGAAGAGGAAGAAGTCTGCCAGTGAATGGAGCTGTCATTCACAGGGATGTTGATTTCCTATCACCCGACACCCGGGACATGTAGTTCCGGGTGGTGGGCAGGTAGTTTTATTTTTTACCTTCAGCCCTGCTGCGGGCAAGCAGCAGGGCTCACCTGTCAGGTAGAAGCATTCGGACGGAAGCGCTGCCGCTTGAATGCTTCCACACAGTGCCAGTTTATCTGCTCCCCCTGCGCACTGTCTCCTGGGCTCTGCTTGCCCATCTGCGGGCCCGGGACCGGCCCACCGCCGGGGGCGGCAATAGAGCAGACACGTCCGCTCCCCTTTTTGTCCTGACCCCGAAGTTACGTTATAATGTCGCTTCGGTGTCCCCATTGAGAGATTTCCAGCAATTGAGGCCAGGAAAAAATGTACTGCAGGGGAGCAGGGAGGAGACATCCAGGGTCTTTTAGACCCTGGATGTCTCAATAAAGAGAACCCGTCACCAAAAAATTCAAAAAAACAAAAAAATTAAAGTTTTTTTCCTTGTAAAAAATGAAAGTTACACACAAGCACATAAAATCCCTCCCCCCCCAAAAAATTGAGCCCCCACGCACACACACATATACGCACGTACAAACGTAAAAGCACACGCTGGGGTGCCTACACATGAAAACATCGATTGCGATACACGTTACAATGACAGGATGCAAATTAAAATATATATATACATTAGGAATGCACAGATATACCGGCAGCCGAAATGTATCAGCTGAAAATAGTGTTAACAGCACTTTGCTGATAGGAAAAAAGGTGCCAATAATGGCTTCTGGAAACGTGCAAGTTTTTCCGCAATTTTTACCTGCAATTTTGCAGCGATATTACCACATTTAGGGTGTGTTTTTTCACAGGTCACGTGACTAAAAAAAGTGCATCAAAACGCAACACGTGCATTTTTGATGAGTTTTCAATGTATTCCGGGTCTGGTTCACACCAATGCAGTATGCGTTTTGTCCATTTTGCAGTGTATTTTGCGTTTTTGTACATGCATTTTTGACACTTTTTTTAATGCATTTTGCGTTTTTTTTAATGTATTTTTTTTAGGCTAACTTGTTGCTGGGCAGGTTAAAAACGCAATACGTATTAAAAAGAAAATGTGTGCAGTTTCAATCCATTTCAGGTCTGTTTCACACCAGTGCAGTTTGCTTTTGTCCTTTTTTCAGTGCGTTTTTTGTGTTTTTGTATGCATATTTTTTATGCGTTTTTTTAAGTTTTTTTTTTTTTTTTTTTTTGCCAGCTTTTCGCTGGACAAATTAAAAATGCATCAAAGATGAGGCATAATTGTGAAAACGCATCAAAAACACACTAAATACGTTTTCTGCAGTGGCTTCATTAAAGTCTTGAACCAGTAACGCAAAATTTTGCTTTTAAAAAGTCCCTGACCCTTTCCAAAGCAGCAGCTCAAAAAAGCATAGATTTGAATGTGTCCATGTTAAATGTACTATAATGCGTTTCTGCAAAAAGCCCTAAAAAACGCATTGGTGTGAATCAGGCCTCAATGGGGAGGTGCGTTTTTGTTGCTTTTTTATTAACTCCCCAAATATACACCAAAAATGCGGCAAGCAGGATTTTTAAAACCACAATTGAAGTGCAGTGGACCAGTGTGAAGACATACAGTGAATTTAAAGGGTTGCAATTTTTTTGTGCTTTTCTGGTGCTTATTTTTTTTAATGCAAAAGCGCTGCAAAAACTGCTCAGTGTTAAAGTGTTATGATATTATTTAAAAAGTCGAATATAATGCAATTATATATATATACTGTGTATGTGTGTGTGTGTATGTGTGTGTATGTGTATATATATATATATATACATATGTATGTATGTATATATATATATATATATATGTGTATATATATATATATATATATATATATATATATACACACACCCTGTTCCACATTATTATGCAAATGATATTTTTCTCATTTACCTAAATAATTGATGTAAATAACAGTCAGCATAATTCTCATGTTATCAACTATTAAGAGTACAATTCAAATTTTATTGAGCAAACCTCCTAATGATAACAGGATTTTTTTTAAACATCTAAAACTTCCAATGCACTGTTCCAAATTATTACGCACAGTAAGTTTCAAAACACTTTATAGGTTGTAAAGAACTGAAAATTGTCATTTGTTGTGTTTGCAGCATATTTACTGAAATCAAAAGCTATTTCAATCAAACTTTTAACAACATTTTAACTTTTTAAACATTTTAACAGGTCACGTTACATTGTAACATAGGACCCCTTATTTGATAGCAGCTTCACAAGTCTTGCATCAGACACACTTGTCTTTGTCCATACCTGGTTGCCACCACTCACATGTGAAGTACTTTTAATCTCCTCTAGACTAAACAAGAAGTTAACCTTTGCAATCTTGGTGCAGGGAACATTTTTCTCTTGAGTTGGGTAGTATTGGGAAACTCCTCATACTGATATAGTCCCAAATAGTTGCTCTCAATTTGTTTTATCGCTCATTTTGTTTCCTTTAAATTGTGGTTATGTGAGCACTAGCCGCTAATATTTTGTAGCAGAGCTTTCCACTTTCCTCTCACTCTGATGTTTAGAAAAGTCTGCAGACCTGGGAACTTGTGCAAGGATCTCACCCTGGGAACATTGGGAGATACAGTTGTGTTCAAAATAATAGCAGTGTGTCGAAAAAAGGGAATAAAGCTCAAAATCCTTCTAATAGCTTCTAATAACACTACAGATTCTATTCCAAATCAAAACATGAAGAAAAATATATCAAATTTGTATTGTTCCTCTAAAAAAATTGAAGAAAAGTGAATATTAGACTGTTCAAAAAATAGCAGTGTTTGTATTCTTCTTTACAAACTCAAACATTCACTATATAAACTGAAAAATGTTTGAAGATTTTGCTTTCCTGTGAATCACTTAATGAATATTTTGTTGTATAAGCACTGTTTCTGAGAACTGCTGTACATCTGAATTCAGTGTTTGGGGGTCGTCTGACAAACTGTCTCCGGCCACTAGACCCAAAAAGAACAATCTTACTTTCATCAGTCCACAAAATGTTGCTCCATTTCTCTTTAGGCCAGTCAATGTGCTCTTTGGCAAATTGTAACCTCTTCAGCACATGTCTTTTTTTCAACAGTGGGACTTTGCGGGGGCTTCTTGCAGATAGCTTGGCTTCACATAGGCGTCTTCTAATTGTAACAGTACTCACAGGTAACTTTAGACCTTCTTTGATCTTCCTGGAGCTGATTGTTGGCTGAGTCCTTGCCATTTTGGCTATTCGTCTAGCCATTCGAATGGTAGTTTTTCGCTTTCTTCCACGTCTTTCAGGTTTTGGTTGCCATTTTAAAGCATCTGCGATCCTTTTAGCTGAGCAGCCTATCATTTTCTGCACTTCTTTATATGTTTTTCCCTCTCTAATAAACTTTGTAATCAAGGTACGCTGTTCTTCTGAACAATGTCTGGAACGACCCATTTTCCTCAGAATTTCAGAGAGAAATGCACTGTAACCAGCATGTACAACATTTGCTGCCTTCCTTCCTTAAATAAGGGCAATAATTGCCACCTGTGTTTTCAAAGAATGAATGACCTCAGTAATAGAACTCCACACTGCTATTATTTTGAACATGCCCCTTTCAATTAGTGATTCAATTACACAGAATCAGCAGCATGCATGTCATGACTGTTGGGTCTGTTGGATTTCTATTACTCTACTACACCTGCTAGTAAATTATTTGCCATGTAGAAATATCATTTCTACCAAAAACAGTGATTGATCCGGTTAGAGATGTCTGACTGCTATTATTTTCAACACAACTGTACAAGAAAACAAGTAGTTTAACAGCAACTTCAGTTTCAGTTTCCAGTGGGCTGGCCTTTTACCTTCTGCATGTAGCTCTCCTCCCCACCAGGCCGGCCTATTATTTACCTGAGCCCAGACTCAATCCAGCAATGTGCAAGAGAGCAGAGGCTCTCAGTACTCTCCCTCCTTATTGGCTCAGAGACAGCAATGTGTGCCATTGTCTCCCACTGCTGTCAATCGCAGCCAGCGAGGAAGGAACTGGGGGCAGACCAAGCTGTGTGCTCTGTGTGTTATGGACACAGCCTGCTCGGGAGTGAGCAAGCACATACGAGTGCCCCCATAGCAAATGGCTTGGGGGTAGGGGGCAGGGGGCAGAACCACTGGTGGGGGACCTGATGGGAGGAGGATCGAGCTGCTCTGTGCAAAAGCCATTGTACAGAGCAGATAAGTATGAAATGTTTATTAAAAACAAAAAAAATATCTTTTTGTATAACTTTAAGGATTAGGATGATTTCTCCTGTACTGAAGACTGCCCCACATATATGGGCATAGAAATCCTGTACAGGTATTTGTTTAATGAGCCTCTGGAATCAACTAAACAACAGACTAATGCAGGCCATAGACGGTTTGTTTATCGGCCGATTTTTCATCCGAAAGAATAATCGGCCGATTTGCGCAGTTAGTGGGGCAATGGTATCGGCCGATTTTCGTGGTTCCTCCTCATTTCTCTTATCAGTCATGCTGGAAAATGCGTGAAAGACAGACGATTTTCCAAATCATTGGTGGCAACATCGGTTTACAGAACAAACGATGTTTCGTGTTTTGGACGAAAAATCGGCCGATAAACGAACCGTCTATGGCCTGCATAACAGTATAGGTGTTCAGTACAGTGCTCAGGCCTGCTGATAGGTCAGAGAGACTTAAGGGGAGCTCCAGGCAATACTCAGGGCACTGATTCTAATGTAAAAGGGATGTGCTGTTCG